GGCTCTCGAGATGACGTGTTACTAGCGTCACGTGACTTCCGCTGTTGTAACACTTATAATAGATAAGCAAATAATAATGTATCTACTAAAGTATTTAGATATCCCAAAATTGTTTATATTTGTTATTATTGATTTTTTTAAAATCTATGTAATATTTATAATCATAATTCATGTATTTCCTTCTTTCTGTTTAATATTTGAACTGCAGCTCTCGGCAAGCAATGCTTTAAAAACGTAGTCGTCTCGGGGCGCTAAGAATGAAAGTACACGGCATCCTTCGCTATTCGAGAGAGGCATAGGCGATCCTTATTTCTGATAGTCGTAAATGAAGACTGCCTCGTAAAATTCCCCATAGCTGTCAGTCATATACGCCACCACCATTCCTGTATGCAGACGTGTAGATCGAAATTTCCAAAGCTGTACAGATAAAAAAAAATCAACCATTTATTGGATACTGGCACAGCGGTATGTCCGCGGACTTACAACGCTAGGCCCGGCATGGCCAGGTGATTAGGGCGCTCGACTCGCATTCTGAGGGTCGCGGGTTCGAATCCCCGTCCCACCAAACATGCTCGCCCTTTCAGCCGTGGGAGCGTTATAATGTGATGGTCAATCCCACTATTTGTTGGTTAAAGAGTAGCCCAAGAGTTGGCGGTGGGTGGTGATGACTAGTTGCCTTCCCTCTAGTCTTACACTCCTAAATTAGGGACGGCTAGTGCAGATAGCCCTCGTGTAGCTTTGTGCTAAATTCAAAAAACAAACAAACAAACTTACAACGCTAGAAACGGGGGATACGGGGAGTGGCGTTTCTATGATTTTTTATTTTTAAGTTCCCATTGTGTAGTCTGTAACGTGTGATCATTTTGTTGATCTGTGTAAGATCCAACTTTCAGAAACTAATGTTTGTTCCAAGTTGAATATGCGTAGAATCAAATGCATGGAGATAATAAACGTTTTAAGTTCTAATTTTAAAGATGATTTAATCAGTAATATAAGTAATAGTAAATCCAGTTTGTTGTTGGAAGAGTCAAATAATTTTACTGTAAATAAGTTACTAGGAATGGCTAAAATATATTACAGTTAAGTCCATAGTAAAATTATTCCCACATATTTAAGTCTTGCAACTATTGAAAGATGTGATGGTGATGGAATTGTACAGGCTGTAAAGGAAAAGCTGATTGAGAAAAAGCTTAATATTAAAAATCATGTAGCAATATGAACAGATAATGCCAGTGTTATGGTTAGAGTTATAATGGTGTCTTTAAGAAATTATAAGTTGATGTACCTTCTTTGAAACTGATAAGATGTATTGGACATACAACACAGTTAGCAGTTACCCACGCCTCATCAGAAACTCATCATTTGTTATTGCTGAAACCTTTAAGGGGTTCTCACTTTCATCAATGCGCCAACTTTCTTATGAAACCCTATATCAGACAATAAATGATGGAAAATAACCATGAATATTCCTAATAACTGTCAACAAGTGGCAGCAGTGGGCAGAATCTTGGATCAATGGCTTGAGCTAAAGACATACTTGAAACTGTAAAAATGTTATACTGTAGAAGTTTTGTGTAGAACGCATGAACACTGAAGTAATCTTTCATACTTGACGTTCATGCATCCAGTTTTATTTGCGGTTCAAACAGTAAACAAGCTATTTGAATCAAATACTGCTGATCAAACGAAACTTTTAAATGATTTGACTCATCTTATCAGATCAATTGCATTAAAACTAACATTACCAAGTTGCAAGTAGATCCTCTGGTTTCCGACATAGAGGAGTATCCTTACCCATACCTAGGGTATAGATACGAGAAAAAGTAGAAGGATTGAAAAACGCAAGTAAAATCTTAAACCAAGTGGAAAATACACTAAAATCCAGATGCAAATGTTTTTGATCCAGCTACTAAAGCAATTAAAAGAAAGACTGCATAAAAATCTAAGTATATTAAAGAATGTGTCCCTACTACCAGTACAAAATATTTTGAAGCCAATAAAGGAACCGATAATTAGCTTGATGGAGTATATGGGAGGGAGGGAAAATATCATAGTAGCAGCCGAGTATGAATTACAGAAAATATACCTTGTGGATTGGACAAACACAGAGCAATTCTGGGATGACGTTTTGAAGTACAAGGCTGCATCTGGCTCTAACCCAATCAGAGATATTACTCCAATGCTGAAGTTGAAAGAATTTTCAGCCAGTTGAATCTCATTAAATCGAAACTAAGACACAAGATGGGAACAAAACTAATAAACTATATTCTTCGTATAAAATATGGTCCAGATTATAGATGACCAGTTTAGAAGGGGAGGTGCCACTGGTGGACGATTTCTGCCAGCTAGAGTTGTTTTCATGGCAAGAGAGATAATGTGTACCCATGGACAAGGACCATAAAGTTTGGGGTAGAGAGCCTTTCTGAGCAACTAGGTGCCCAGTGACGCCTACTATGGCTTGTGGTGACACCCGGGGTTGTGCAATACTGTACCATGAATTGTCATGAATATCTTAACACCATTCTGCCTTGGACTAGGGATCAATTGCTCATCAATATTTAGGTGTCACTGAATACGAATATCATCCTCTGCCCACATCATTGGTAGAATTTCAGTCAGTTATTGGACCAGAACCCACAAGGGAGAGGCTTTAACCCACCCTGCAATCTCTGTGGATGAGACGTTTAAGGGAACATCAAAAAAGGACCATAGTCATTTCCTGAGGAATTTCAGGCAACTGCTTGGAATGGATGTATTCAGGAACAGGCTGTCCAGTACTTGATCCTGAGCTTGGTTGATTCTGCCTTGGATGTCATTGTAGACGTAGCTGAGGAACCTCAAGAAAGCTGGGAAACAGTTGTCTATAAGCTGTAATGTTGGTTCAACAGTTAAACCAAGTGGAGAATCAGGCAATTGATCAGACAGAGTTCAAGGCTTAGAACAGAACTAGCACCATGGGATTACCCATCAATTTGGATACTCCAGGACAGAAAGCGTGGATCATGTGCTTTCATTGTGTACTAGTGGGCAATGGC